ATGTAAGTTCATCTGGTAGTTTATTGTAATTCTAAGAACTCTATAAAAGAGGTTATTTCTGCCTACTTACAATTTGACTTTTGGTGAAACTAAATGTTTACGTTTAGTAATACTGGTTTGGGTTTTATATATTGTTATTGATGTTTTACTATTTATTATAGTGAAATTATAGAATATTCATATTATATACTTATGACCCCATATGTGGTCTGAATCATTAAAGTACGTAATTCTATAATCTAATGAGCAAGTATAAAATATTGGCGTAAACTGATCCACACAACAATTCCATACATTGTAACACTTAAAAAGACCATAATAAACAGAGAGAAGTGATGCTTTCTCTAATATATTTTTAAATTTTGATAATATTAAAAATCAAGTATTTTGTTTCTTGTATAATTTCAGTGATGTACGAGTCTCATTTCATTCAATTTGTCGGTCAATTATGTTAGAAAGGTATTTTATATTATTTATGTTTTGAATTTGGATATTAGGAAGCTTGGAGATCATGAGGTCTTTAGACTTGAATGTGCTAGTAATCATCATATGGTAGTAGGAAAGATTTATTTTAGAAAGAAAGGAGCAAGTGCTGTGAATATGGGAAAAGAGGTTGCATAATACAAAGAACTAGTCTACAAAATTGACCTTCTGATACAAAATAGCATCAAAATGCTCTACCAAAATCGACTAGGAAATAATCTTCACTTAGAAAAGGAAGGAAGTTCAACACAAATGTATGGACACTTGAAACAAAGTGTTTTGAAGAAGCAAAGGAAGCACTTGGGGAAGAGAATAGAAGAAAATTTCTACTGAAAAATTCTCAGATGACCTGGCAAGTACAATAGAAGAACAGAAAAAATGCATACATAATATAGCTAAATGACAAAACACCAGAATCTAGAAATTAATACGTTCGGAAATGTTGAGAAATAAAGGTAGGAGTAAGAATGAAAATGAACGAACACTGAAATACGGTGGGGAGAGACATTCGTGGGACAACAGGGTAAAATGAATCAACTGAGGCCTGGAAGATTATTAAGATAATGAAACAAAACCATGTAAAAAAGATTGTCACACAAAAGAATTCCTGCTCAGAAATGGATTTACTCAATACTTTTACAAGAAAGTAGATTTGGATATTAAATAGAAGATATAAACAATTCCCATGAATGTGAGGCAGAAATAACAGAAAAAGATGTGAAAATGGCATTGCAAAAAGACAAAATAAAAATAGTTCCAGGACCAGGAAATCTGAGAATGAACCTTCTCAAGTGTGCTGGAGCCATGGTTATAAAATATTTAAAAAGACTTCAATAATATAGAATTACAAGACCTACCTACAGAGCAGAACATGTCTTATAAATAGCCTATTTATAAGAAGGGTGATAAAATAATGTGCACAAATTGTAGAGGCATCAGAGTTATACCGTCTATAGTAAGATTTTTCTCTAATATTTTGAGTTAAAAAATAGGAAAATAAATATCTGGTTTGAGTGAAAAGAAATAAGTGGTTTCGGTTTGGGATGACCCTGTCAGGAGAACTTTTTACTGTTTAAGACAAATTACTGAGAAATGCAAAAGCAGGAATGCACATCTTTACTTGACATTTATAGATCTTGAAAGAGTCTATGATAGTGTTCTGCAAAGTAAACTATGGGAAGCAATGAGGAGAGTAAATGTAAAAGAAAAGTGGATCAAGATTGTCAAGAAACTCTTTAAGAACACTGAAGCAAAAATTAAAATTGGAAAAATTGGTAACTCAAAATATATTTGTAAACTAAGGCCTTAAGCAAGGATGTGGCCTTTGCCAATTTTAATCAATATTTGCCTTGAGCAAGCTCTTAAGTACATGGTACAAAAAAAAAGGTTTGTGCATGGGAATTTGAATTGGAGTTGACAACCTCTCCTCTCCCTGTACACGGATGATCAAATCTTAATTACCTAAGATAAGAGGGCAATGAGTATATAAAGTATCTTAAGGAAAAATGCAACAGATGGGATTTATATATTTTAATAAAACTGAATGTATGTGCATTGGACGAACTTTCATAGACATAACAGTAGATGATAATACAATTAAATCCTATAACAACTTTAAATACCTTGGCTCCATAATTAGTAACACTGGCAGATGTGATAAGGAATAGCAATATCTGACAAAGAATAAAGAACATAATATTTCATAGTGTGATAGAAAATATAGTATTTTATGGGGAGGGGGATTGTGGACCCAAAGAAAAAATAGAGACAAAACACAAACACTGGAAATGGACTACATGAGAAAATGCCTACATTGAACACGGTATAATAAAGTCTGAAACGAGGATGTAAAGAAACAGACAGAGGTAATTCCTTCAATTACTAAAAGATTGGAAAACAATGCACTCCAATGGTATGGACATGTCCACAGGATGCCTGAAGAAAGACAGCCAAGGAAAATATTGGAACAATCAAGAACACGGAAAAGAAGAAGGCAAACTTTATATGGGAAAAATACATCAAAGAAACCTTAGAGGACATAAAATTAAGACCTGCTTATTGGGAAAATCGAGATCTGTGGTGGCTGAAAACGGCAAACTCCTGAACGGGAAATGGCGAAGAAGAATATGGATATTTTTACTCTCAACATACTTCATTATATCATTATTATCATTGGATTAACTATTAACATAATTACCAAATCAGATAAATTTGATCTTAACAATATAATAAATATAAATTATGTTCATACTTATTTTTTCCTACATTCTGTAAAAAGTTGGAAGAACTGAAATGGGTGAGAATTGTGGGTTCATGTGCCGCCATGGGCATGATTGTATTTGTATTCGTCCTTTCAACCCCTATCATCACCGTATCATACCATAACATTAAAATCCAATAGTGGTCACAAATGACCTAGATGTTGATGTAGCCTAAACCCCCCTCCAAAACGCACAAAATTATCGAGTCAATTTTTGGTTAAATACTTCATGTTCTAAGATGACTAAACAACAAAAATATCACAAATGTTCCTTGTTCTATCCATGGAAAAAATTTTAAGAAACAACTTGAAGAGTTTTTTCAGAAAATGTTTTGTTTTGTAAATTACATTAAATTCAATCACAATATACGCGAAAACCACTCATTTTGACAAAATAAATGTACATAGCATTTCTTTAACACATTTTGTTTTGTAGGTAAAACATCTTCAATATTGTAGTTTTAAAATGTTAATTTGGCAATGTTCAACAAAATATTTTGATTTCTCTCAATTCAGAAACAGAATTAATTTCTCCATGCATCAGAAATCAATTAGAGCATTAAATCTGGATTAAAGATGAACACATTTTTTATTTCTTTTGAATGAAAAAATTCAGGGACCCAATTAAGTTGGGGCAGGCAATTTGCCCTCCTCCCCTCTTCCTGGTCACTGCTGCTTAAATGCACTACACTACCACACATTCCAGCAGACCACTGGGGAGCTTCGAGCTTGTCCTGGCTAGGATGGTGCCCCACTGGTGTGAGATATCTCGTTTGAGAAAACTCCGCTGGCCGTCAGGTAGGTCGGGGCCAGATCTCATCATCCAGCGGAGAAAGAACATGCCCTTACGGGCCTAATGACTTTAGCAGTTGATGAGCCCAGAATCACTAACCAATCATTCAGACAGATTAAGTATGTAGACAGTATGTAGAAATGTATCAGACATATTTTTTCTCTCCCTACAGAGTTGATTGATTTCAAGTACAATCACGAAATGTAATTTAAAGCAGGATTATGCTGTAAAATACCACCAAAAATGACAAATTCGATTTTGCCTGTTAGAAGAAAGGAAAACAATTATTCTTGCATTAAAGGCTGAGGGAACCAAATCTAACCTAAGTTATTTTCTTTATTAATATTTTCAAAACATAAATTGAATGTCAGTGTTTAAGAAATATTTCCACCCAATCTTTTGAGGATTGTGGTATCTGATTTGATTAATTTATTCAATGATCATTACAAAAACTTGGGGTAAAAAGTTTCAAAGAAAAGAAAAATGATATTCAGGACCAGATGAAGCACATAGTTCTTAAAAATATATTATTTTATGCCTTTCAGTGAATGAAAGGCAAACACCATTTTCCCAACGTTGACTTTAATTTACTTATCATTAAGTGAATATATCTGGTACTGGAATACACTGTCCTTTTCTTGTAGACTTTTTGTTTATTTCCCTTCCTGATCGACTTTCCCCTCAGAGCCACGGGATGGAACAGACATAAAATTTTTCAGACACGGCCCACTGTGCAATGCATTGCAAGGCAGGTGTCTCAAATAATGGTCATCCGCTGCCTTCATGGGACACACCACTCTGGGAGCAAAACAGAGGCTGTACACTGCTCCTCAAAGCACTTGTCTGGATAGCCTACACTAGATGCAACACTGACAAACCAATTTCAAAAACAAGGTACGATGATGACTTTCAGAAATACACTCTACATTTCACACACGACATTTAAGATGGTTTACTAATACACAGATTCTGAGGGCGATAAGTAGAGGAGAATTTGCACTTGTAATATTGTTGCCTGAAAAATTGATACTTTTTAATGAAAACTAAAATATAACTTCTGCAAACCAAGAAAGAAATTGATAGGTCTTTAGGAGATTTTACCTGTATATGATATTAAATATTCCATGAAAATCTTATAAATAATTTCAACTATGGAGTTACTGATCGAGTGTTGAGGGCAACATTCAGTGTAAAACACAATATTGGTACCTTCAAGTGTGTGCCAATGACATTTATTAAAAGATCACTATTGACAATATGTGGATACTGTGTGGGAATACTTATATACCAGTGGGATTAAAAGAGCACATAATTCTGGCACGAATAAAGCGATTCTTTAATAAATAGAAAACTGAAAAAACTGTATTTTACTTATGTTTAAAAATAATATAATGTTTGTCTTTAATATTAGATTCAAAACCTACCAAATAAAAAGTAAGAAGTCAACAGAAAAACTCTACTTACTATCAGGAGGTTTTCCAACATCTGGACCAGGTATTGTACCAACAAGCCTTCGTCCCGACATGGTCAATCTGTTTCTTAATTGACTTGCTTCTTGTTTGCTTTCTTCCATGCGACGTTCAGCTTGACGAGCAGCCACCTGTACAAGAACATCAGCTCAAAAGAAAATTTAAATTATCAATTTTTATTTTTATTTTTTTTATCACTGCCGCTGATTTCACAATATGAAAATATTTGTAAAAGTTGTTTCTCAACCCAGTATGTACATAATTCTTAGGTTCTGAACACAAATGTAAATATAAAACAACAAGAAACACAGAATCAACTGGTTACTAGCACATCTGTTACTCAGACCAATAAAATTACTTTCATATTGACCTGCTACAGTATTTTAACAATTTTGAGAGTTACTTTCTATAGGGATATCAAAAAAATTTAAATTAAACATTACACTGTATTTACTAGCATTTATATTCATAGTCTGAACAAAAAACACTGAATGGATGTTATCTTGGATGGTCATTTTTGTATCAAAATTTAAATATATACATACAAAGGAATGTCAAAAGGATTTATGAACTTATAAAAATTTAATGATCTCTGTTCAAAAAGGTTGAGATAAAAAATGCTATTAATCAATCTCCATGTACCTAGAAATATTTAAGCATTTCAGAAGGGGAAACTTCACTTTATTACCTTTGCCAACTGTACACATCCAATTTGAAGAAGTGTCCAAGACAGGAAAGTCGGCAAGATTTTGAAAGAAAGAAAAATGAAATCAGATTTATACATAACCTGCCTACTACGCGATACATTAATTCACATCAAATATTAAAGATTTTCTGCACAACATAAGAAGTGGATGAAAAAAAAAAAAAAAACAATAACAGATGTTCACATAAGAAGGCAATTTTTTATTTCTCATTTCTAAGACAGCCTAATGGTCTTGAACCGCTTATCTTGGACAATTATCACAATGATCAACATTTCTTAAAGATGTAATTGCATGGACTATAGGAGAACACCTTTTGTCATGGGATGATGCTATCAGTAATGTGGGTCCGAGGAACAGGCAGAGAGACTGCGGTACCGAGAGGCGGAGGGCCCGAGAGGAGGAGGGACCGAGAAGCGGAAGGGCCGAGAGGAGGAGGGGGCGAGAGGAGGAGGGGGCGAGAGGAAGAGGGGCGTGAGGAGGGGAGAGAGGAAGAGGAGGCGAGAAGGGGAGGGACAGAGAGGCATACGGATGACCGTTACTCGTCCGTCCAAAAATAAAATTATATTTCTCTACAATAAATATCAACATTTCTTGAAGGACCCATCAAGTTTTTCACACTATTTTTGGGGTGTGACAATGTGATCTTAATCTATTATATAGCTTTTAAATTCTATTCACACCACCTTGTGTTTCTGCAAACTGTCCTTTAGGTAAGCTGGAATGTGAAGGTTAATTAATGTTGCCATAGTGTTCAGTGCAGACACAAAATTTTAAAGGAAAAAAAATTGTCTATGTAGGTCCAAAAATACTGAGAAAAAAATAAGATAAAAATGATACTATGAGAGCTACAACAGCATGCACTTCTCACTTCACTAACAGTTACATAAAATTATAGTAGATTTATTGTCCATATTAGCAGATTTCAGCCATCACTTTAAAACTCATTGTAACCTTCAATCATAGCCCATTAGGTGCGAGAACTTAAGTTAATACATCTACACTAATTTTTACAATCTAAAATATTGGTACGGAACGTACTAGTGATTGGGACTTTATTGAAACTATCAGGAGAGCAATGTTAGTATGTGTTCATCCAAGTCAACCGAGTCTAGGCTAGCAGTAGTCGGTTAAATATTTCTCCACAAAGTTCAGGGTGAACAAATTTGTAGCAATCTAAATATAATTACACATCCTCATTTCTTTACATAATTTGTATGCCATGTTATTGGCCAATTAAAATAAGAACATGAATGACATTATTCATCATGCAAGTCACTGACAGACTGTATAATCACAAATCATAGTGTTTTCATAGCATTAAGTCCTCCATTAGTATGCTACAATGTATTACTTCTTCAAATGTGTACCCCCTCCCAAAATTATTTTTAAAGGACTTAAGTTTACAAAATGGCAATAACAAATTATGATAAAACCAACTACTAACCCAACAAAGGACATTTGTTTTTCTTCCAAGAAACAATAAGATACAATTCAGTTTGTAGGGACAATGTCAACTTGCAAAGATGTTTTGTCATTATACGTCTCTACAAATCATTTGTACATTAACACTTACCCAATTCTCATGAGCTTTCTTCTCCAGAACGGCTATTTGAGACTTCATACTTCGCTCCTGATCAAGTATTTCTTTTTTGAGAATCTCATTTTGAGCTCTGAAAGAAACAAATTATACGTATTTACATATAATTTAAATGTTTCTACACCTTCATGTATAACATACCTAGTTATTGACAACATTCTACAACAAAGACAGGCATGATTTCTGAACAGAGTTGCCACCTCTTTTGGTTTGACCAGGACACTTTTATGAGGGGGGCTAACACTTAGGGTTAGCACCAGTGAAGTTTGTGACCTAAAGGCAAAAGATTACTGTACTTTTATAGCCATGCATTAGGAGATGGTTAGAGAATAACATAAACGGCAAGAACAGCATGACCCTTTGAGAATTACTCAAGTTTATCCTAAACAAAATAATATTTTGTTTGTTAGAGTAAGTTTTCAATGTGAGTGACAGTTTTAAGGAAATACACAAAATTGTTTGTTGGATTTTGTCTATTCCCATAAGCAATGCTTATGTTGAACGTGTTTTTTCAATTATACATAATGCTTGGTGTGATCTCAAAACCAGAATGCGAGTTAAAATAAGTTAAAGCAGAACTTATCACAAAATTGAACTAACGTGCTGAGTTTTATGCTAGGCGCTATAACAGTACATACTTTATCACATTATTTCTAACTTTTGCAAATTTCAAAAAATCAGCAAGCTCAATAAAAATGAGACCTGTACATTTCTTTTCAGCATCTTTTGTTTAATCTGCAGAAAAAATTGAAGAAAAAAACTTGAGAGTCTTTTTGAGAAAATATTTTTTTAAATAGAATTCATTAATTTTAGGTAGAAATTTCACACACACACGCACACAAAAAAACTTCATAAAATTGTGCTTTACCTGTTTTAAATATATTTTTTTAACAATTACATTAAAAAAATTAATTCAAATTAAGAAATAAAATATTTATTAAAAGCTTATCTTCTGATACTATAAAAATTGATGCATGTTCTCAAAAAAACTTTCAGCCAATAGTCTGATTCCCATGAAATTGTATGTTATTTACCATCTTAATTTGGAATAATTCAACATGATATTTTCATCTCGAAATTTTTAGTATCAGAGGATAAGCTTTTAATAAATATTGTTTCTTAATTGAAAAATATTATTGCAAATTTATTTTTTCATTAAAAATATCTGATCCATTTTCTTGAATTTTCAAACTGAACAATGGAACCTAAACCTATGCCCTTCACTGTAGTTGTTCTCTAAAGAAGATAAAGAATTATCAACCATTTAATAATGAAATTTAAAAGTTTGTACATAATAGTTTTCCTTTTAAAATAAAAAAAAAAGTCCAGTGACTATATCACCTGGAGGAGTCTGCCCCTGCCCCCCTTCTCCACTGGCCGAATGATTGTAGACTTAGCCTCAATTGTCCCGTTCAATTTCTTATTCTCCAAGGCCTACAAACAAGCTACTAAATTATTTGGAGATTTACAGAGAGATTTTGCCTCTTGCCCTTTTACTTAGACAGTACTATGCTCACACATACACGATTCATCTGAGTTCTTTCAAACATATTATATATGAGAAAACTTACTTGTAATTTTCAATTTCTTCTTGAAATGCTTTAATTTGTTCAATTGTAGACAATGCAGCTCCTTCTTTTTGAATGTACATTGCTTCCTGGAGCCCAAGTTCCCTAAGAGTATGAAAAAAAAAAAAAAAAAAAAAATTTACATTGAAGTTCTGGAAGACTCAAAAAACAAAATTCTGTGAGTAAACATAAATCAAAAGTACCTGAACAGCTTCCATGTTCTGCATAACTTAAATTGACATTTTCTTCATAAAATGTATAAAAAATATTTCATTTTATAAACTAGTAATTTAGAACACTACGACTACATTAGTAATTTTTGTGAACCTCTTAATCAGACTGTCATACACTCGTCTTAAATTATTTCAATATAATCTCTGGCATTATTTTGGCTGTCACTATAAATATTGGGAAACTGGCTTACACAGGACCTAACAGGTCCTTCCAAACAATTGTTATCCAAACCCAATCCAAAACAATTGTTATATACAATATAGTACATATTCAAATTTTGTAAATAACAATTCAGCAACCAGTATTTCCCCCACCTTATCAGGTGAGTTAAAATTATATTAACAGAGTTAATTCATACTAAAAACTGAGATCTCATAGCTAAGTCCTCAAGCATTTTATTAAAAATATTAACAATAACAGAATATTTCAAATTTCAGTACGCATTGTTTACAACTCTTTGTTTATATAATTCAGCTAATCATAGCAATTCATGTGCTTGAAACGTTATTCACAATTTGATAGACTATAGTATATTTGCAAATTGACTCTTTACCTACTTGAACCCATTTGAGCAATAGTATTTATAGTGACTTAAAAACAATCGATCATCAAGCTAATTTATACCACAATAGTATTCACCTTCAATAAAAAAAATAATAAGTTTTACAAAATGTGTCAGTATGTCAGTGAGTCAGTGTGTCTGTCATATACATGTACATACATGTACATACATGTACATACATGTACATACATGTACATACATGTACATACATGTACATACATATACATATACAGATACATATACATACACACACAATTCAGAACATACTGTACAAAAGCTTGGGTGGTATTAAGGTAAATTGCAGTAGTAACTAATCATGTAAATCACTCACTCTCTCTCTCACACACACCCACAAACATAACCCCCCCCACACACACACACACACCCAATCACACGCCCACACACACACACACCCAATCACACGCCCACACACACCCACACCCAAACACACGCGCACCCCCACACCCAAACACACGCGCACCCCCACACCCAAACACACGCGCACCCCCACACCCAAACACACACGCACACCCACACCCAAACACACGCACACCCACACCCACACCCAAACACACGCACACCCACACCCAAACTCTCTCTCTCTCACACACACACACACACACACACGTGTACGTGCTTGCTCATTCACACTCGCCAGCTAGTTCCCTTGCTCACTCACATACTCAGTCTTTTACTTGTAGGCTCGTTCAGGCTCTCACTCATACGCTCTTGCTCACCCCCCCCTTCTCTCTCTGTTCACCTACTTCTTTCCACATATCCTTAATTTTAATCCAAAAGGAAGAAATAACCTTGAAGATCTTTTTTTATTAATTTAAAAATGAATCAATCCTAAAGAGCTATTCTGGATTTCTATTTCAGTATGACGACAATTTTACATGTCATAACTGCAAGCACCTACAAATTGTACCATGAACTGCCACTACTTACCATACACATAAGCTTGACTGACTCTGCTGCCTATGTATTATGAAGCAACCTATCATAACTGGTAAGTTCTACAAGAATGCAATAGTAATCCATTACTAAAATCTACACTTATAATTCATTAACACAATAAAGTTTAAAGAAAATTTTGAATAAGAATTTTTTCCAAAATATATTTACGTACTTACATATTTTATATACGTTTACATACTTTTGTAACTGGGTCTCCTTCTCCTTAAAGTAATTCGACAAGACTTCAAGGCGAGTTTGGGCTTCCATCTTTCCACGATCCGCTTCTTCATATTTGGTACGAAGAGTGGATACCTCTTCACTTATTATTTTCATGTGATCTTCAAGAAAGAAAAAAGTAGTTTACAAAATAAAAATATAAAACAAAAAAGGATTCAAAATAAAGTTCTAGAAGTGGAAAACTGCTAATTGAAATTAATGGCATGAAGAATACCATACTTAAAATAAGTTATTTTAATAAAAAGTACACAATGAAAATAATGCTGCAGAATTTTCAACACAACACATTTTCAATTTATATCCATGATTTTTGAAAACAACCGATTTTTGAAATATCAGTCTCGTTGCATTTGGTCAAAGTTGAGAGACTGTGCGAACTGTATTTTGCCACACGCAGCAAGACTGATGACCAAAGCAGGCAAAAACCACCTCACTAAATAAATCTTTTAAGTGGATGGAGACAACTTCCATCATTTTACCATTTAATTATGTCAATAACACCACATCAGCATTCCCATAATAGTAGTGAAGTAAAAAGGGGGCAAACAAATAATTTGATGATTGCAACATTAAATATTTACATAATTTAACATTAAAGAATTAAACATTTCATTTTTTCATTAAACATCCATTTTTAAATAAGTGTCATGAAAATAATTTTCTCAAACTTTTGAAAAAATATTATTACTAAATATTACTATTTTAGTTTTTCTTTTCGTGGACACATTACATTTTTTTAAAACTCTTGTTAACACATTTTCCAAAATTTATTTCCTCTCATTTTTTTCTGGCTTGTTTTTGTAATTATAAATGCCATCTAGCTTTGTTTGCACATATGTCCTTTTTTTCAAAAGCTTGTTCTAATCACATTTTTTATTTCATTCAAGTATTTCTACTTTCCTGTGTTTGTTTTTCTCTTTTCAGTCTTTACAACTTCATTTAATCAAATTTAGCTTTCCTCTTTCTTTCTAAACGATTTCTTGTAGTACAATGCTAAAATGTAATTTTCTTTATACCTTTTTCCACTTCTGTTTCCTCTTTCTTTTTCTGTTCAAACAAATAAATTTCACATTGAGGACTGGTGGATCTTTCAGTTGGAGTAATTCTTTCATTACTGGTACTTCATAGCTAGTGTTTATTATTAAATTGAGAATGAAGATTTACTTTTATTGTTAAATGAGCTTTTAACATCTTTTCATTTAAATAACAATGATCCTTCATGAGCAGCTCACTCAAAACTGAAAATCCATGCTCTACATCCACATTACAAGAGAAAGTGAGAAGCACTTGAATGCATTTTGACAATATACAATGAAGTGATTTCAGGCAAATTTTGCAATTGAAAATATTGATGTTGCCATCAATGCGAACATCACATGGTAATCCTTTAGTGCCATTTAAACTGCAAGGACTCTTATGCACATGTGGGTGAAGTGCTTGAAAGGTGCTTTATTTGTGCTTTAAAAGTGCTTTATTTGGGGGGATCACTTCTTTGTGTATATGTTTTTATAGTTCCATGTTTACAAACAGCTAGGTAGTGGTTTTGCACACTTTTTTTAAGAAGAGTTACAATCAACTTATTGGCCACATTTTAAATTTTGTCTCCTGCCTCATCATCACTGACAACATTTTTAGGTTCAAGCAAATAAAGTTTCAAAATTTATCACAAGAGTGATTTTTGTCTGTGCACAAATAACTGATTATAAGCATTGTAATCTGCTTTAGAAAATCCATATAACAAATAAACCAATGGTTTCTCCTCTTGAAAAATTTTTGTAAATTCATTGGAAATTTTTGTACTAGAAATAACAAATTGAAGCTCTGATTTTCTAGTGACACGTTTCAAGTGTTTTATGTTTTTACAGTACTACTGCATCTCATTAGAGTAGTAATCTTTCTGCAGAGGTTTTCAGACTGAGCCATCAAGTTGGGACAGGTTTCATAAAACATAATTTAGGTAAATTTAGAAGGGGTGTTTTGAATAAAGGATTCCCATCAAGAACGTTAGCTCCCAAAGAAATAACACACCTTAATACTGTAATGGGAAGGTCGCACGCGTCAGGGGGCGACGCGTGTTCTAAAATTTTATTGAACATAACATTGCTGCGAGAGATGCCAGGAAACGCAGTTTTTCACTACCTGCAAGCGTTTTCGAAGCACAAGATGATACGGCTGCCGTTCAAAAAAGGGCGGTAAGAGCGGAGCCATCACACCGGAGCCGTCACGCTTCACTAGGTGCATCAGAGCACGTCGCTGGCCGTATGACACGGCCAGTCAGCGAGCCCTTGGCCCAGAGGGGTATAAGACGGCGCGCAGCGAGAGGTGAGGCAGATGGCATCTTCCCGCAGTATAGTGAAGTGCAAGTACCAAGTACCAAGTGACTACGTGATCGGCCTGTGTAACGGACTTTTCCCTCAGGATTTTGACTACTACTTAGTTAATCGGACATCTCGTCGGTATATGGTAATTTTGACAAGTTATGGTAAATCTTGCGGATAATTCTGTATTATTGGAAATTGTAAATAAACTTGTTTTGTTTTTTTTAAAGTAAGTTTTGGATATAACTGTATGTATAATAAACAAGGTAAATTATTTATTATAAAATGCTTTTAACAAAATTAAAATATTAAGTTTATTATTTAATGTATACTTTATATTTTAAATTAAAAATAGTTATTATTAAAATCGTAGAATCCAAGCACAAACGCTTGGTATCGATTTACAAATTAAACATTCTTTTACATACAAACATTACTGTTCAGGACTCGAGAAAGTCGACAGGATATCACAAATGTTTCAAGCATTTAGTTTTTCTTTTATTGGAATTCTTTCTTTTCTTCACCTTTTTGATATTTTCTTTCTCCTAAGTACTTACTAACTGCTCCGTCACCACGCGCATGTAAACGGTCCATGCCCTATTCTTTTGTTTCGGGTACACTGTAACTGCGCGAAATGTCACAGCAGCCCATGATCAGTCGCTTGGCATATATTGGGAGACTTTAATCTGTCAACACTTTTCGATTGCGTCGGCCACACTCCACTGCATGGAAGTCACCTTACCACCGCTTGTCAAGCCCGTGGCCATGCGGGGTAAGAAAGAGATACGAGTTGTCACATGCATCTGGAGAACAGTCGAAGACATTTTCCATACGCACCACTGGGCTAAAGTACAGCGACAATCTGAATTCCCATTCGTAATTAAAAATCTAAGGAGAGAACGCGCTTTTTTTCTTCGATAAATTTAAGACGTTTCTACAATTGCTATTGTGTTTCTTATTTTTATACATCCTACACTTTTACCATTTTAATTTTTTTCTAGGCCCTTGAAAGGCATGCCCACCCCCCTCGAACCAACCGCCACTGCGGTTACCTCAGTAACTCGTCCAACAGCTTAAGTTAAGCATCTGAATTTGTTTTGACAAAAGCAAAATTACGTCACTTTTCTTTGCTTTTAAGGCATTTTAAAAACATTTTAAGAGTTTTGTTGATCATTTTTGGCAATGTTCTAGGTCTTTAAAATCCGTCGCTTCCTTATATTTCCCCATTCCAGAGACAATACTGCATACGCCCGACAGTCGAGCGCGGTCGGTAAATTATGATAGTTTTTCATTCAAAATGTTTTGGTCGAATGTGTCATATTCCAGATTATGTAGAATGCTTCAGACTAAACTCAGCTCACGCCGCGATACAATTTTATACGATTTAATGATTTTCCGAAATATGTTTACGGAGTAGAGAAAACTATGTAATGCTGCGCGAAAAAAATAGCTTCAACAGGAAAAACTCTTATTACCCGGTCCTGGAAACGAGAGTGGATAAATCCAGTTGCTAAATTTCGAAGAAAAAAAAAATCTTTAACACGTAGTGTAGTCAGTATCAATGTTTTGTAGGTCCTTGACACCAAAACGGCCTTGGCGGCAAAACTTCTATCTAGCCGTCTGTGAACAACGCCAGAGGATAAACCGATCGGACGATTTTCTCAAACATTTATATTCTCCAACCTAACTGGCTGATATCGTGACCTCTTCAATTTGAAACCGATATTTTAATTTTTGTGGGTATTTTACATGAAGCACGTGAGGCATTTTTCAAATTTTCAAAAAATTTGCTCCATTTTTGATGAGATTCTGTAAAGGACGTTTAAGAGAATGATGCAAGTCTTATGTTCGTTGAAAACCCTAATTTTTGGAACATTGCAAAAGTTCAATTTTCGGAGTTTTCCTACCACTAAAATATTAAAGATGGAGATGTTTTCCCTTAATGGAATCTGTACTTTAAAGATAGCTTTTGAAGTAAGGTCATATAAGATCTCTCGAAAAATTATATATTTTCCGCGTAACTTTGCGTGAAATATACGCAATTTTTAATTTTGTTCAAACAATTTTTACTTTCTCGCACGTAACGTAAGAAAAAATATTGTAATCGTGCGCCGGAAAACGGCGAATTTTCGGGGCTTGGTAAAGAAAAAGTGGATAAATCCAGTTGCTAACTATAGAAAAAATCCTCTAACACGTGGTGTAGCCAGAATCCATGTTTTGTGGGTCATTCATACCGAAAAATCGATTGACGGCAAAACTTTTATCTTTCTGTCCGACGGTCTGTGCACAACACTAGCGCCTAAACCATTCAGCTGATTTGCTCTAAAACTGATATTCCCCAATTGTTGTAGCTGATGTCGTGGCCCCTGGAATTTGAAACCGATATTTTAATTTAGGCAGTACTTTACATGAAGCCCCTGGGATATTTTCAAAATTTCCCCCCCCCCCAAAAAAAAACCACCAATTTTTTTTAAAAAAATTTCTTCGCATATGTAATAAGTAGGGGGGCGGATTTTAATAAAATATATTTTTTTCTTTTAACTTTAGAACAATGCCGTTTAGCATAGAAATCCATTTTACGTTTAGACAAAACGAAATGGCCCATTTTTAAATCATTTTTCGTCGATTTCTGTAACTAAGTCATTTTTTGCCTTACGTAATTTTTACATTTTTTGCTGATTTTTATCGATTTTAATATCATTTTAATGGTATTTCGAACATTATTTACGAGGTGCCACAAATGTTCACCATAGAATTCCTGAGAAGCACATTCGATTTCTTCGCTCATATATTTTTAAGTCAGCACCAATGGAGCACCTCGAAAACTAGTGGTGCTACATAATGGCACAGACTTTCTCGTATTAGTTTTCTAATTTCTTTGGTCTGGCTAGGTATATGGACTTGGCATAAACATCGATAGAAGGCCAGCTGTCTTCTATTGATGTTCAAAGTAGTTCATTTTTTGACATCTCAATTTTTCGGTTTCCTAATAGTAGAACCGAAATATTATTTTAAGAGTATGAAAGACGGGTAAAACCTCGTAATAATTGGCAATTTTCATTGCAAAATTCTGAGCTGTTGTTAAGAAAATGGTGTTGAAGCTTTACTGTAAATGCGAAATTTCCAGCTGGTGTTTTTTTTTTTTTATTTTTACAGAAAATTCTTGAGTTTCTGAATAACTTTATTGGAAGTCAATTGAAGCACTTCCATTCACTAATGCAATAGAGTTTACAAATCGCTTGAAATGTGCATTTTAACAGCAAGAGACAGAAAAAATTACATTTGTGAAATTTTTGAAAAAATAAAATATATAGCTAAATGAATCTTATGCCATCTCAAAGAGTGCAATTAGCACCACATGCACGAAAAGTTTGAAGAAAAAAATTGGAGGCGTTTTTGAGAAATTCTGCTTTTTTATTTTTTTAAATTGCACATATTTCATGCAATATTGCACGAAAACTACTAAAATTTTCACCAAAATGTTTCTGGCCTCAATGAAAGAACTAATTATGGAGAACAAATTTCATTTGAAAGAAAATTCTCTATCTTCAATTTTGTAATTGTAGGAACACGCCCAAAAAATTCCAAACATTATGAGCTAACAGTGAAAATTGGACCTATGCCATCTTTATAAGTGTCTTTTACTTTATTCTCACAAGAAATTTAAAGAAAAAATTAGGATCAGTTTTCTAGAAAATTTTGAAACTGTCCGGGGGGCTTCATGTAAATACCCCCAAAAAAATTTTTAAGAATGTTTTTCACATTTGCAGCCCCTCGAGAAGAGCCAGATTGACTGGGGAATACCTATTTGGGAAGAAATTGTACATGCGGTTTGGGTGCTAGTGTTCACAGACACACGGATGGACGGACATTTTGGAGAAAAAACTAGTGCTGCTGCCAAAAGACATCTTTTCTTGCAACATTATATTGATTTGTATATTTTATTGAACAATTGATTTGATCTGACATACATTTTTAAAAAAAGGAACAAGAGTTGCACACTTGTTGAAAATTTCAAAACATTAAAATGACATACAGACACTTTCAGCTTATTTAAAATCTTAACAGATTGTATATGTGAGTAGAATTGCTTCAAATGATTTTCAATAAAGTTTCTGAACTTGTCAATAGTTTTCTGCACCAACAGAGAGTTGTGACAAATAATTATCTGCGAGATAGGCTCAAACCAGTGGCACTTCCCTCCGAAATGTGGAGTCTGAACCTGACATTTAACCACTTCAGACACTCAGGTTCTAGGGAGAATTGGCATTTTTATATAATAGTCATAAGCGTCGAAAGGCAACAAATGATTTGTCGATGTTTTACAAATCAGACAGACAGATGGACGGAGAGACGTTTTGCTGGCAAATGATTTTTCGGTATAAAGAATCGACAAAACATTATGGCTACACCATGAATTAAAGGATTTTTCTTCTAAATTTAGCAACAGGATTATCTACTTCTTTGTTACCTGATCCCTGCAATACATTTTTTTCTGGAGAAATTTCGGCCTTTTCTGGCACCTGATTACATAACTTTCTCTTATGAAGAATTCAACTACAAATTAAGAAAACAGCCAAATTTTTTATCAATATATTAAAAATGGTCTAACCTTCAAGAAGTTTTCTGGCATCTTCTTCACCCTGCAACTTATCTTGAAGTTCATCTCGTTCTTTGGTAACGGCATCAATTTTGGCACGTAAGTGTCCAACATTTAGTAACTCTTCCAGTGAAACACTTGACTCTCCACCATTGGACAAGTTCTCCGCATGATTTAGACAATCCCGGAGGACTGAAACTTCTCCCTCACGAGCAGCTAGAGTCTTCCGGGTTTCATCCAACACATCCTGAAGTGCATCTAGTTCTCGACACAAGCGCTGGGAATCTGCAGATTTACTTTCTAGAGCCTGAACAATGAAGCAAATACATAAATAAGGTACTAGGGTAATGGTATGGCAAGTGGGTATTAAGAGCAATGAACATCTTGAACCCTATGAAAAACAGATTTTTCTAGTTTTAGTATTAATGATCCCAAATATCATAGATACTGATTGCCAGTGCATATACAAATGGATATAGTATATGTGTTACAATATAAAAATCTTAATTTTTTAGCCATTATTGTCCTTTTACTCCCCTTGTGACATCACACAAATGAGCTAATTCTGGTAAGTTTCATATAAAGATGTTGGGATAACATTAAAGTTATTGATGAAACTTTTTCAAATTGCCACATTTGCAGCTTTTGTTTTTTTATGACTGAAATTATTAAGTATTGTGAACATTTGGAGATTTGCTTCCTGGAAAAATAGCACCCAAGTTTGGAAGTAGTTACCTAATTCTGTATTACCCCATTCTATTATTACTCCATAGTTATCTATGTAACGCCGAAATTATCAATCATTTCCAGCACCTTTGCATCCTTCTTGACTCCTAATGCAATGTTTTTGGCCATTACTTTAGCCTTCCACCTCTCATCCTGAAGTAGTGACATCCATGCGATTTCAATGTGCATTGATATACACTTAGACTATAGGTTCACTGACAAAAATTACTTCTCTTGATCCCTTCTAACAGCACTCCATATTTACATTTTCTTCTGATACACTCCGTATAATGCCTAACAATGTTCCATAAAAATATTTTAATGAAATAATGCTGAATATTCCCCTTCATCTTGCATATTTCACTTACGATTATCTTTGAATTCTAATATCAAAACAAAACGTACAACCAATATTACAGAAAAATGTCTACAAGTCGTCCACACATGTTTGTACAATAAACCAAAACTACTTTATAATATTCTCATGCTATAGACAATCAAATCATTCATTCTGACATCCATCCATCCACTCAAACACCTGCATTTCATAGAATATTAAACTCTCATTATCAAATAATGTGAAACTGAATGTGAATTTGAACTGAATTTAGTAATAAACATTTAATAAGTACTGATCAATGCATTCCAAGAAGGGTTACACCACAAGTAATTTTCAATTAAATTTAGTCTTAGGGCATTCTAAATTTTAGTAAAATCAAATTAATAACTCCAAATGCAATATACTGATAATAAGGAATTAGAGCCTCTCTTTATCCTCTTTTGTTCAATTATTTTTATTATCCTCTGTATCCCAATTCGTATATATATTCTACTTCTTTCCCATGATGAAGACCTTTCCCAAAAAAAAAAAAAAAAAAAAAAAAAAAAAAAAAAAAAAAAAAAAAAAAAAAAGCAATTCCGGACAAAATGAATGACACAAGGGACGCTTGCCTCCGTAACTAGTATTAATATCAAAACATTACAATGATGTTAGCAAGAAAACCAAGAAATCCTTACTTCTACTAACTGCGATTCAATTGACTGATTCTTCATTTGAAACTCATGCTCGATTTCTGATTTTTCTTTCTGTAGATTCATCAAAGTCTCATTAACCTGAAATAAAAGAATCCACTGAATAATAGTACTTTCATGTTTTAGAAATATTAATTCAATAAATGATTCTTTTGAGAAATCCATAAAGACCTAAGCCTGCTTCTTTATACATCTTAATGAAAGAATTTAACAATGTTCAGTTTATCGCATATTACATTAGTACTTAACATCTGGAGCAAATCGATTTACAAGAACGAAAAAGAAAAGAAAATAGGGAGGGAGTTGGTACACTCGTTCATAATTGTTTGCAATTTTGAGAACAATATGTTAACAGTGATATCAGGAGTGCCATTGAGTATAATGTCTAAAATGCCATTCGAGCTAAAATTAACATTGATATGAACAACGTGTTCATTACCTCTAATTTACAGCAAATCCAATAATTGCACTTTTGTAACAAATCTATATTTTTCACATTAAATTTTCATCATTAATCAATTATAATTATTCAATAGATTTGCACCAGAGTGTCAGCTGAAAAATGAAGAATTATGAACTTTAGAACACAGGAAATTGATTGATATTGAAGGATTTGAAATGCACTTTTCAAATAATACATTATGTTCTTTCATCAACATTTCTGAAAAACTGAGCTGGAAAATACATTTTATCAAAAAAATTGTGAAGTGTAGAGGGTCACTAAAACCTTTATTTAATTTTTTTTTATTAAAAAAAAATAATAATAATAAATAAACTGTGCCAATCGAGGTAGCCAAAATCACTAAGGAAGTAGTGCAGTGGTGGTCTTGAAACGAAGGATGAGCTCCACCTTTGGCATCGTTGTTTGTGTGTCTCTCTATGTTTGCGATTGTCCATTTCATCCTCATCCTCATCATCATCATCATCATCATCATCATTTCACCTTATCCCCCAGGGCTAACAACCCTGGGTGTAAAAACAGATTCAGTATGAAAATGCTGAGCCCCCCCAATAAAAAAGTTACGAGTACCTATTTCCGATAAATATAACTGGGCCCCAGTGGGTAGCACGCTTGTGTGGTCCCAAGGTAACCAATTCACGACAAAAAAACTGTGTGTGATAAGTGAAGGGGAAGTACAAACTTAGCACATTTTCTTGGGCTCCAGAATCTCTACCCTCTTTCTTATTATATATAGTTTAATTATGAATAATGATAGCAATATGTATTGTTGATAAAACAGACCTGTTAACTCCCATGTAATAGAAATGTTAGCTCACTAAATGAGCAATTTCATTTAACAATACTGCAGATGCAAACTACAACTACCACTACCACTACCCTCCACTCCTTTCACACAAAATTTGTTATACAAAATAAAACCTTTGAAATGTCAGTTATGGATTTACAAGTATTTTTATCTTCACACACCAATTGTATTTCCCACTATTTCAATAGACTGATTAAAGTATAAAGAATGCCTCAATAGAAAGAAATACAACAATTTTATGCAACAAATTATCACAATCTACTTTGAATTGTATGGTTTATCAACCAAGGTCATATATTTTCATTAAATTTTGGGGGCTGGTTTCCTTCTGGATTAAAGACAATAACTTTAGAGGTAGTATTGTGCACTTATTTTATTAACATAAGGTTTAATAGAACACTGTTTCATGGTCACACGCAAGCACTCATCGAGGAAAAAAAAAACAACCCACACAGACGAAAGCTGATATTTACAGATAACACTTTCTCAAGTTCAGGTGATATTCTCTAAACTATTCAAATGTAAGAGAACCATACAAAGCACATTAATGGGAGAGAAAGGTATGTAAAAAGGTTTTGAAATATGAACAGGAGCACAATCAAACAGGCAGACACAAGAAAGCAAACTAATAATCAAACATGTATGGACAGACATGTAAAGCTAAAACAAACACCGGCAACGAGAAACATGCATGGAGATAACCAAACGAATGGAGTCAAGCAAACATACACACATTAACATACAGATGAAAATATAATATAGGTACTTCCAAAATGCAGTTGAAATTATGTATTCATATGCTGATCGTAAGTGTTCTAAAATTTTAAGTAATTAAACTTAATTTATCCCAAGAAAAATAAATCCAACAGATTCAACTAATGAGAGGATTTGTGCAATTTACTGCATATACACCTCAACTCATCAATAAATTGAATGTTTTATAAAGGTATAGTAAATATTTCAGGTTGCAGTAGTACTGAAGCTATTCCAAGTTTAAAAACTTCAATATAAATATAAAAAAAAAAAAAAAAACAACTATTTTTTCAAACACAGCATAGAATCTTGCAATAAGCATATGGGCAGGTGCAATACTGTTGTATAGGAGATTTCATACTGATTATTTCCCGAGATCTGAAAAGAGTGCTGAAATTGTTTGTGGGATATTTGGACATTTATCTGGAAGTATTGCAATTGTGTAGGATTGTGTAGCTTCAAATATTTTATTATTTTTTTTAAAACTTTAATTTAAGATCACGGATGAAACAAAGCTGACCGTTCGTCAGCACTGTTCATTTTTCAGTCTTCTGAATGTTCTGCATTGAGTAAGATGTTTTCTAAAATATATGCGGAAGAAAATTTGTCATTTTTGAAATTTTGATATAACCTGCAACATGTTTAAAAAATCTCAAGGATAGCCGTGAAAAACTAACGGAGAACTAAGTTTTCAACTTCCGACATTTATACCCTTACCAACTCAACGAAACATGTATTAAAGAATTCAAGTCAACATTTAGAAAGACTGTATAGAAATATCCTGAAAAAATAATTTTTTTTTCTTCTTTGGAGTATTATCTCTCAAAGTCTTAGTTCCTTTAAAAATGTCTTAAGAATATACATTGTTATCACAAATGATTGCATTTTCTAGGCTAATGAATTTTCAGGGGCCAGCAAATGTAGCTATTTGTTCTTTATCATGAGAATTCTGGGTCTTTAGATTAACTCGCAACCCAAATCTGGAAACACCAGTGCTTGTTTTGAGAATTTGGCAACACGCGACATACCTTTGGCTTCCCCCTATCATAGTTGCGTGCCCAGATTTCGGGTGTGGAAGAACAGGACTATTTAATTAGGAAGAAAGAGAAAGCACTTATTCTGTCCTTGGGCAGTTATTTATTCACGTTTCATTCATGATCAAAGGAACTCACAATTAGGAAAGAAGAATCGCTTCAAAAATGCTGACAAAGGATCAACATGTATTTTTGTTAGAAGTTTACTTCAGTACTAAATCTTTTTTAAAGAGTTAGGTAATGCTTCAAGAAAAATTTCCAGAAACTCCAGTTCATAACAAGTGAACAATTTGGAGTTTAATCCAGCGTCAGTTTATTGTCATTTTATGAAAATAATATTTTATTAATTTTCATTAATTGTCAATAATTCTTGTTACTATTTATTGATATTTTATCATTAATTTTATTAAGATTTTCTTATTTGTTTAATTTCCAGGTTCAATAATAATAATTATATTATTGTTATATGTAATGAAGAGCTTGTCAGTGATGTTTCACGAGATATCTTTCTGATTTCTCTCTGATACAGCTTTCATTAAATAATAATTATTGTTACATTGCTGTTAATAAATTAATAAATCAGTCATAACTTCCCTCCCTAACTTCAGTATTACAGTTCTGTTTCTTAAGCATTCTGGACAGAATCGCCCAAAGAGACATTTTGTTTGCCTGCTCATGCCTCTGCCCACTCCACCCACTCTGTGCAGCACGAAAAGATTTCAATGTCTGAGCTGCGTACCTGTCTGCCTAAGCTCTTGAATGGAAAACAGAGAACCAGGAAAGTTATGACCTGACACTCGCTTCCTCCTCTGCAGAGTCGATGTGTCAAACAGCAGTCTTAAAAGAAGGCAAAGACAAGTGGTTGTCAAATTGCTAAAACAAGAACAGGTGGTACCAGTCGTGGGTTGTGAGATAAGCGAAAGACCTTGAATATTTTTTACACAGGAATGCATCAAGAATAAATTCTAAGGGAAATGTACTGCTTGAATAATTATTTTAATAAGGATACGTTAAAAGAAGGTAAATTGGTACGTTTTAATGATGCACATGTTATGAGAATGTACAAACACATTAGTTCACAATGCACTGAATTGTTGGTAAAGAAATTGTTGGTATAGGAAGTTTAATAGCATTTGAATCTACTAGTACTTCTTTCTTTTCCATTTATTTCTGGAAGGAGTAGCAAGTCAGAAATGAAGATGAGATATAAAGGAAAATCAGTTAATAAGTTAAAAAAATAAAAAATAAAATAAAATAAAAAAAATAAAAACCAATGCACAATTGAACACAATTCTTCACAATTTCATACAGAGTTAGAATTTTTATTGTGTGATGAACTGAACTGATTATAACGGCTTTTTCATCAGGTTTGTCTTCATAAATTTAATAAAATATTTTGCTAATTACTGAATTCAATAATGTAAATAGCTCCTCATAAGTACTTACTTTATCAAGCTGCTCCTCGAGGTTCTGAACACGTTCTAATTGAACTTTTAACTCTGACTGAAGGTTTTCATTCTGCAATAAATTCCATACTAGTGAATTCTTTATGAAGAAAATCATCAAAATCAACTTATTTTTTAATCTATTTATACATAGACAAAAGGTTTTCAGAACATACCTCAATATTTTTGGCAGTCAAATTTGCAGTCATTGTAGTAATTGTGCTTTTTTGACTGTCAAGTTCCTTCTGAAGATAATCAACACTCTTCATGAGTGTATCAGATCCATGTTGTGCAGACAACAACTCGGACATCATTCGATTTAGTTCAAGACCAGTTTCTGTTGCAGCCTCTAACTCCTTTTCCAATGTAGCTACTTGTTCTTCCAATTCTATGCGTGCATTCTGGTGAAACAAACAGGTATAAATAAAATTGGAAAAGTTTTGAAAATTAATAATAATAATAATAATAATAATAATAATAATAATAATAATAATAATAATAATAATATTTTATTGCTTATAGACAGAAACAGAAAGAATCAAGCAAAGTCTGTCTAGAAATTAATTAAAAATTTGGTAAGAAATACATTTGTGGTAATTGCATCAAAATTTGATTTAATTTTCAACAAAAAGTTTTCATACTGCCAGAATATCTCAGTACTTTGCTTACATCATCTAATGAGGTCATTTACTCCACCCCTCATTCCATAACAATCTAGTTTTGTCAGAAGTTTTTCATGAGATACACTATCAAATGCCTTTGAAAGATCAATGAATATACCTGTTTTGCTATTTTTTTCCAAATGTCCAATTATTTCATGTACAACAGCAGTGGTGGGGAGAATCCCTTCCTGAAGCCTTGTTGGGACTTATTACACATATCATAAGATTCAAGAAAACAATCAAGTCTTATTAATATAACTTTTTCATGGAGGTTGGCAAATACTGAAGTTAGGTTTATAGATCAGTAATTCCTAACATCTTGTGTATTATTTTTAGCAAGTGGTCTTACAATACTAACTTTTAGGGATTCTTGGAGAGTGAATACAGATACAGATGAATTCATTAAATAAACTAATATGTTACAAAGAGCAGGCTTCCATTTTTTAAAAATTATTGAAGATATTTCATCATTACCTGACAAGTAACTATTTTTGAAGGACTTTATAAAATTGATTACCTTCAGTGGCTTCTGTGTGAAGGAGAAACACAGATTATGAAGTTCCAGAAGATAGAGAATTACTAGTATGACTGGATACCATGTCCTGCTTTGAATTTTAGAAATGATAGTTAAAGGTCCTACAAAGATCAGAAGGATTGTCAAGAAACGTGCCTTCATGTAGTAGGTATATGTTTCTGTGAATCTGAGTTTTCGCACTGTTAATTATATTGCACAATGTTTTAGATTTGTTTGCTGAGTTGTTAACTTTATGATTTAATTGATAAGCTTTCTCATTCATCAGTTTTAGCCTATAATGTTTTTTATACTGCATGAACATCTCAATATAATGGGATTCCTAGTATATCTGAACAGGTCATAGATGATTTTCATTTTATTTCTGAGAACAAGAATTTTATTACGAAGCTTGATTTTGTTTTTTGTCTTTCACTTCAATAATTTGCCTTTTAATAATGGGACATGCAATATTCAAATGATGATTTAATGTACTCAAGAACAAAGTCCATTTCTCGTTGATATCATTACCACTGAGAAATTCAGTCCATTTCTTTTTCAGGAGACATTCATTTAGCAACAGTAGTTTAGTATATCACTTGTATCACGAGTAAATGTGTTGTTCAAGGCTAATGGGGCAATTGATTATTTCAATGATTTGTGCAGTGTGATCAAATAGATGAAAATCAATACTAAGAGAAGAGTATTCATTTCAATACTTGTAATGATGTCTATGAGAGAGCTGGAATGAGTTGCAAACATTTTTAGGAGGAGATGGAGGGGTGAGAGTAACAGAGATGACAGATTTGTATGTTTGTGTCATGGAAGAAGGAAGTGAAGAGATGAGTGATGTGACGAGTACAGAAAGTTTGCATTTCCCTTTTATGGAAAGATGCAGACCATGACAAGTAAAATTTGTTCTGTCTAAGGGTCTAAGGTCTGCAATTTTAATTTGTTTGTTGCTTGCAAGGAACTTGATTTCTTTGTTTGTTTGGTGGAATTTAGTTTTGTGCTTTGAGGTGTCATGACTATGAGGTGTCATTAGTGGTGGGTTGTCATGATTACATTTGTTATCTTGGTGACATCATTGCTTTTTTCTACCTTTTTCTTTCTTTTCATGCACAAGGTAGTATAAGATAAAAATAAAAGCAGGATGAAAACTAAGGAATAAAAATTACAATCATTGCATTATTTATGATTAATAATACATGTGCATAGTGCATTTGTTTGAAATAAGATGGATTTCATATTTCCAATTATCTACTACACTTTTTCTGATATATTTTGTGCCATTAATATTCATCTTACAATAACTGTATGAGCAGTTATAAAACATGATATCAGCATAATTTTTATTTTAAAAATGTGAAGCTTTTTATGTTTGCTTTTGTATACCAATTTTGAACATTCAAATACACTAATTACTCTATATCTATGACAAGTAAAATTAACATTAATATCAATAATAAAATAATAATAATAATAATAATAATAATAATAATAATAATAATAATAATAATAATAATAATAATAATAAGAAGAAGAAGAAGAAGAAGAAGAAGAAGAAGAAATAACAATTACAACAACAATCTATTAATTTCACTATTGAAATGAATCAGAAAACAAATTTTACATGACTTAAACAAAAATAAATTTGATAACAACAACCTTTTCCACACAATGCTTAAAAATATTAAAGCATACAGATAATGATTAATCAAGAAAATGTATTTCAATTAAACAGAAATTTAAAAAAGATCTATTATGTGAAAGTGTAAATATATGTATTACTCACCCTACATTCTTCAAGTTCCTCCTTCAATACAGATGATGTTTCTCCAGAATCAATTGAGGTTATGAAGGCTGATATTTTTTCTTTAGCACTCTCAAGTTCATCTTTCAAAGTATATTTTTCTTGTGAAGTTACCATTAATGCTTTTTCTAAGCTGTTTATCTTGGCTATCAGAGATCCATCTCTACGTTGTTTCTGTTTATGAAAATTATGTAGAATATTGTATTTCAATGATAATTCACACAAGAAAAATATGATATTATTACCTCAAGATAATAGTACCCTAAAGAAAACACCAGGACTGTGATGGCTGTGACCATCAAATATATCAAAGTATCAAACGAATTTTTATGCATTTCTTTGTTTATAGAAGTTGACACCACTAATTCAGATCTCAAACTGGCTCTCTGTTCAAATACAAAACATAATTTATTAAATACATCAAATCAAATAATATGCTGTATAATTCTGTATTCTAATAGAACATTAATTAACAGTTTTACCCGCATCAGGGAAGAAAGCCATCCTGGTTCAGCCTCATCAGATGAAAATTGTTGTTTTGGTAGGTCCTCAGTCTCTGGCACACAGCCAGTCGAATGTATTTCACATGTCCCTTGAACTAAAAATACATACAATGAGTCTCAGAACAATAGTGTCTCAATGTCAAAGGACTCTGGGTATGGATTGAGGAGATTCAGTGAGTAAGTACATTGAAGAATGCTGAAGTAATTGGAAAAATGAAAATATGTACATGTAAGTAGGTGACAATGCTGTTGGTATGATAACTGTAAAAGTAAGCATGGGTCAATGGTTAATGAATATATATATCAAAATAAATAAAATTTTGCTCGAATAATACCAATATAAAAATTGCTTACAAAGCTTTTTAGAGTAATAATAAACAGATATAATTTTGTTTGGTTCAAACTTAAAGAAAGTAGATTTAATATAATCTTTAAATACACACGTCTAGTGTTTTGGTAACCAAAATCAAATATAATTTTATGTAGAGTGAAGCATTTAAATATTCTAAAACTTCATCTCTCTTCACCTCTTTTCTATGAATGAACATAAATGAAGTGTAGTACCCAAAGCTGAATTTTCCATCCTTTTACAAAACTCAGATCATTTGGAAAATTGAATTAGGTGATGAACATTTTTAATAAGATACAATTTTTGATTTGATTAATTCTAAATACATTTTATATTTTCTAATATTTATCAGTCCTTTTTTTAAATTTAGGACAACCGCAAATTAAATATATACAAATTTATTTCATAATTATATTCAATGAAAATTGTCACGATGTTTCCGAGAGAATTCAATATCCCTCATCAGGTGCTACAATTGAAAATGTATTTACAAAATTAATCATGAATAAAACAGCCAAAATTATTTACAATTAGTTAAAGAAAGAAGACCATTAAAATTACAAAAATTGATAAATAAATAAATAACACTCTACCCAATTCAAGAAGAAAAGGAATGTGTTATTGTCTAAAAATATTTTACATAAATTATAACATACTCAATATTATTCGGTAATAACACATTCTTTTTTAAATATTAGGACCAATCATTACAAAATTGTATCTTTCAACTCTCCCCTCACTTACATCATCCTTCTTCATATTTGTAGTGGCTCAATTTAAATGGTTAAGGTCCTGAGGCTGGCCTTTGGACTGCATTCCAACACGTACTTACCTTAGTGAGAGTGCGTGTGATTTGAGAGGGGGGTGAGAGAGAGAGGTGTGTGTGTGGTGTGTGAGGTGTGTGTGTGTGGTGTGTGAGGTGTGTGTGTGTGGTGTGTGTGTGTGGTGTATGAGGTGTGTGTGTGTGGTGTGTGAGGTGTGTGT